CCAAGCTGGTGAATAAAGAAAGTAATAAGGGCAGCAAGGCATGCAGCTGAAATGACTGATAATGCTTTACAACAGCTTCTAAATAGAGTAGATAAAAAAAATCCTGTTTGCACATCATCTTAAAGGGAAGTGTAATTATCTATCAACCAATCAACACCTAGCACTCACTTCCTGTGTCTGACCTTGCTGGACTCGTAACCATGGAAATTTTTTTCTCTCTCTGGTAGAGTAAAGCTTGGTCATACAAAAACCTGTGTGTGTGTATGTGTGTGTGAACAACAAATAAGCACAGTTTTCCATGTGTTTCTTTCACCAAAGCACCTTGGAAACAGTCTTATCCTGCCATTTATGGCTTACCATACTCTGTCCAAATAACAAATATGCAGAGATGATGAACCACTACCCCTATGCGCACACACAGACACTTATTCTGCCTGGGAGCAAATGTTCTTTTCACGAACAGACTGGATAAATATGTGGGAATGTCTTTTTATTTGGGATCTGTTATGACAGTCTGCATAAATAATGCATCTTCAGGAAACACTGAAATATTTACAGAACACATATTGGCACAAATCTGAATGTGGATTATGTTTGTGAGTGAGTGTGTGTGTGAGGTTGTTTCTTTTAACATTATTTCAGTTACGGACCATGCCTTGAAAATGAGCCTGCCTTTAATGAGAGCTCCTGCTTACAGAGGCAGAAATGCTTCTTTGTGTTCTCGGAGGCATTATCAGTCATTGACAGCTGGTGAATGCAGCACTTAATTTAAGTAGACTATCCTGTCAGATTGGCATTGATGGGCAGTTCAGAGTTGAACAAAAACGCACCTTACATTACAATATTTATTTCCTTAGTATTATAGTGGAGTTAAAAGGACTCATGAAACCGACGGAATATTGCACATAAATGTCTGCATGCTGTGCTGAATTCAGATATTGAGAACTGAATAACAGAGTTTGATTGATTTGGGTGTACAAACCCCTTTTATACTTTTTGGGAAAAAACTTACAAATAAAAAAAACATTTCGGTATTTCTGTGATATTCCTAGAGAATGTTACTTACTTTATAATACTCAATAAGAAGGTACTGATAATAAAAAGAGCAACTTAACATCTGCTAATGATAATTTATATTTTTAAAAGTCAAGTGTGTAGGATTTAGGTAGAATAAAGCAGTGTATAGTTGCAGATTGCAACTCCCTCAATTCACTCTCCCTTTCAAAGCGTTTAGGACAAACTACGGTGGCTGTACTTGTGGATAAAAGTGTCTAATTCTAAGGTAACAAAAACACAACATTTCACATTTCTGGCAACAGATATTCCTAAATGTACACACTGGACCTTTAAGGATTTCATTGTGATATTCCCCCACACCTGCCACTAAATATAATTCCTAAAATGACACAGCCAAAAGTAGGTAAACATCCAAACAAAGTGCAGTATGTGTACACCCTTATGTGATTATTAAACATCTAAAACCATGGATATGCTGCTTTAAATGGTCACACCAGTGATTTAATATTACACTTCCACAAAGTGGGGCGACAAACAAAAGATTATAAATTTTAAAAAAAGGCAACAGGGGTTTGACTTTTAGTCCCTAGTATGGGTCAAGGAAAGGTCACTCAAGAAAAGTTTGAACCAACTTAAACAGCAAAAAGCCCTTCAGACTAAACAAGCTACAAAAGGAAAATATCTAGACAGGTGCCGAATGTGCTGGGGGGGGTTCAAACAGCTCATCCCAGCTACAGTTCCATACACAGACTGTATGAACGGCAATAAATATATAGGCAGTCTTAATCTGGCTTTCACCTCTAAGTATTCCTTTAGGCAGGTAGTGAATGGTACCCAATAATAAGTTGAGTGGCTAATGCTTTAATCTCCTGTGGTATATAGATACATGTTTTCTAAGTTTTTCCTATAGTATTTTAGTTCTTCTGTGATTGCTACATTGTGTAGTGGATAATGATGAACTGAGGAATAAAAGACAAAACTTAGACTTAAAACTTTAAAAAAAAAAAAGATTAGCTATGACTTGTTTTGAAAATGAATTGAAAATGCAAAAACAGTCTTTAGCTATATTTTTAAATAATAAACTGTGTGTTGTCTGGTTGATAGTATTGATTGAACAAAGTCAGTTTATTTAAAAGTGACAATTAGAAACCTTACCACTTACTGTATGGAGCTCACGCTTTAAATCATCTGTGAATTTGATGTAGATATGTCATTCTGGGTTAGCAGACAGATGTCACACATTATCTCGAGTTTACACATGCTATTCCTCCATCTACACGCATGCTCAGTGTTTCCATTCGGCTGATTCACATCAGCAGCAGCGTTGGAGATCAACCGGTCCGAAAGCACATGGATCCCCAGTGAGAAGAGCGAGCACTCCGGCCAGGGGGTAAGACTGAGCCCTTCTGTGGTTGTTAACTCTGTTGGAGGGAAAAGAGGAGGCTGCGGTTGTGGAAGGGATAGAACTGGGGGGCTGTAGATGAAGATGAAGTGCGATGGAGATAAGTGTGTTGCATGGCCGTGATGACTCACTGTTGTCCAGTGCCGACGGTTAGTTTCTGCCCGTGCTGAGTTCAAATGACCACCATGGCTTTTGATTGTGTCTGTTTGGAAAGGATGCGACCACTCGTATCAACAAACGACAGATCTTGTCTCATCGGTAGGCCAACAGCATAGGGACGCAATAGGAAATCATATATCCCACATTAGTGTGGGGCAGTGAAGAAAACATATTGCATGCTCGGGGTGCTTTAGGATCCACTGAGACTGATACTAGAATCTGTGTGTTTTTAAAACTGGGTTCAGTCTGGGTTTAACTGTTAGTCAGGAGGGAAGCTGGGGCGAACTTACCAGCACCATGGACAGCGCTCTGCTTCAGGAGCCTCTGGAGCTCAGATATCTCTGTTCATTGATCAGTATAGGAGTCGAAGTTTGATGTGTTTCATGGTCATGGAATAAAGTCAGAAATTCTTTTATAAGCAATATGGGAAAAAATATATAATATATAATCCCATTAGTATTGAAGACCAGTGAGTTTGGTAAGGCACTTTACAGCTTAATCCATCATAATACCCACATAATATACTGTGAGTCACCAGTCAGTGCCACACGTATTTATTTAAAAGCTTATTTGCATATTAAACAGCTATCGTGGAAGAAGTACTCAGATGCTTAACCAAAAGGTCCAGTGTGTAACATTTAGGCTAGGACTATTGGCAGAAATGGAATATAATTATTCATAGGTATGTTTTCATTAATGTGTATTCACCTGAAAATAAGAATTGTTTTTGTTACCTCAGAATGAGCTGTTTTTATCTACAGATGCCATGGGTCACCTTCTGTAGAGGCCGCCATGATAAACCACCATGTTTCTACAGTAGCCCAGAATGGTCAAACCAAAACCTGGTTCTAGCAGTTGTTGTTGTTTTTTTTGTTTTTTTTTTTGCATGCATTTAGTAACTGTAAGGCATATCAAAGAAAAACAAGTCAGTCATGACCAGCTCTAAGATGTGTTGGTAGCATACAAACTCATTCCTCATCATGATAATGGTAATATACTGTGAGTCATTTATTGGTGAGAGAAGCATTTAGATCCTTTACTTAAGAGTAAGACAATAATATAAAATGACTTATTTGCAAGTAAAAGGACCACAGCTACTGCATTCTTGGGAGGTTTAATCTGTTATAATGCAGAATATTTTGTAAGTATTCATTCGTTCTGTAAGAAGTAACCAGTAACTAAAGCTGATAAATGTGGAGTGGACAGTATTTTCCTAAATAAGTACAAATTAGTATCAAATTGAAATACTCAAGTAACGAATAGGAGTCACTAATCCATGTTCCAGACATTCATTTAAACGCATCATTAGAAATTAGGTCATGTGAAGTTTTAACATCATTTTCTTGAGAATTTGTTCTTATAATTGTGTTGACATTCAGCATGAATAAAACCAAAAAGGTCAGATATTTTCCTTTATATGGAAAACAAAGCCAGATTAAATAATATGGGATGTCAGCACTATAATAGATATTAGATTTTAATTTGAGGAAGTCTGGCCACATTCAGCAATGTTTTCAAAAGATAATGGAATTTGTTTTATAAATGCTGTTTATAAAAGCTTTACTCAATAAGGTAAAAGCACAAACTGCAGTAGGTAGTTAAAGCCAATTGAAATAAAAAAAAATTGATATTTTGTCTATCTGTCTGAATAAGCTTTTCTTTAGCTTGCTGCTATTACACACAGGTTCTTCTCTTGGCACAGGAAGTTTACTTTCTTACCTTTTTGTATTAGTTGTGTTTATATCCCCATAATTTCCTGTTACAAGAAGACCAGGGCTTGTAAACACAACTCACATGGAGTCACAAAAAGCTTGTTTAATTGTACAGAGTTTGGTAAGTCATCCTGTCAGTTTGAAGATGTTGGCCTTGGAACATTACCAGAGCAGGATGTTCTCCTCTGGTGATTACTGATTTGTTTCTCAGGGTTATGTTTCAAATTGCAGTCAGGTTAAACTTCCTGTCTAGCACAGGCTGAGAGCAGGCATGTGTGGCTGCGAAGAGAAACAGTTTGAAGGCAGGGAATGAAAGAAATCAATCAAACCGCCTCAGTGGAATAACAACAGAGGGACATGTGTGCATATGTGTATGAGGAAGAATAGAGAGTGCACGCACTCTCATATGTGTGACTCATCCGTGGGTGGTAATAGAGCCACCTCAGGGCCACGGTAGCCGTCAATCGTTCACATGCAGCAACAATAACTGGGGCAACCTGACGACTCAGGCCGAGATTTATAAGCAGCCTTTGAAGAGAGGGAGGCTTTTATTAAGGGAGATCCATATTCAGCAGATAAACAGCGTCTGTGATACAAGAGCCTGGCAGCTGACACGTACACACATCAATCTGTGCAGGACTCTGAATACACATCACCCAGTGTATGTATCTGTGTCTTTTACTGTAGGTGTACAAGGTGTGTGAGGTGTGATGGCGCTGTGCTCTGAGGCCTGTGTCTCTGGCTCAGGAGGAGAATCCTCCGGGAGTGAGGTGAGCTTCAATTTCCCCCTGGGTGATGATCGAGTTTTATTTGATTTTATTGCAGCTAAGCGTCTTATGATCAACATTAGGCAGATGTACAGAGGACATCTAATACGCTTTGGTAACAATTTAGATTCAACCCGCAAAATTAATTACATACATTCATTATTTTGTACATACAGGGCAACAATGAAATACTAACTGGAATCTACACTGTAAACAGAATTTAAAAGGGCTTTGTTTTACAGCCCACATTTACAATGCTTTGTCCTGGAGGCACTGAGCCATCACTTAAAGATCCAGTGTGCAACAATTTTGAAGGCTGCCGTGTTGAACCGCCATGTTTCTATAGTAGCCCAGAATGGACAAACCAAAGACCGGCACTACAGAGGGCAGAGTTTCACAGACCCCATAGTTGAGCTGGTAGTGCAGTAACATGGGTTATAAAAGCTTTTCTGAAGGTATCTCCAGGATCCTCAAAGATGTTTCTGAAAATCTGGATATTCTTCTGCATGATAAAAATGATTTTTAACCCAACCCTATCCAGGTAGCAACAGGCTAACATCTTAGTTTGAATTCGGAAATTAGCAGTATCTAGCAAAACGGATTTTTCTTTCACCCGGAGGGTTAGAAGAGTTTTTCAGAACAACACTAAGTGTAGTTGATTAACTTAGACACATACCAAACCACTCTGTAAGTTTGTTTTCTCCATTTTTTCTGTCTTGTTAGCCAGTAATAGCATTAATGTAACAGTCCCTCTAAAACACAAAGTTGTTACTCCCTTATTCCCCCCCGCTGTCTTTTACCTTGTACTCGGTATAGTAACCCAGGAAGTATTTCATTGATACCCCATATGTACAAATTTCTTGCACTGTATTTTTTGGGCTATAATCTTAAGTGCTAACTATGCTTAGTTCAGACGTGAAAGAGAAATGCAGGCAAAAGAAATTGCTGAGGACTTTTGTTCTCCCGTGTAATTTGGTCTAACTGGGTTACAACATCCTTGCAGACGGGTTCTAGCTGTCTTCAGTTTGGGGTTCGTTCCTATCTGCACCACTTCTATGAGGAGTGCTCGTCCTCCATGTGGGAGAGAGACCCGGAGGATGGAGGATTTGTCCAGAGCCGGAGATCAACCCTGTGGTGGAACTCAGCTGTGTGGAAGGTATAAGAACTACAGTCTGTTTAAATTATGCACCATCAGTTCATCTCTGTTCCTGGGTCTTAAAACCTCTCATTATTCAACTTTATATTCAACTCAATGACTTTACTGGCCAAAAGCAGAAGCAGGACAGGAAAGTACAATTTACAAACATTTCAGCAAATCAGTTTTTCTAATCAAGCCATACTAAAATATAACTTATTTCATTTTAAAACATGAAAGTTAATCAGGACATCATCAACTATAAAGTTTAACATGGGAACATAAAAAATGAAAAATCCATGAAATGCATATCAGACCTTGTAGTTATCATTGTGTCTGTTGTTGTCTCTATGTTTTCAGTCTCTCTGGCATTTCTTGGATTATTAGGTAGCAAAACATATTGTATATGTTCCTTAATCAGTCCTACTCTTGTTATACATACTCTTTATTTTATATAATAAATATCAGTCACTGATTGATATGACACCACTGGTATCTGTTATGTCCCATGAGAAATCCTACAGGCACAGAGGAAGGGATACATGTTGCTTTGCAGGTTTGTTTGAAACGTAAGCAAAATTAATTCAACTGTTCATTGATATATTACAGTCAGTGGCTCATGTGCCATAAGTGTATTTTATGCTATTCAGTCCAGCCCATGTTTCCCATTTACAAGCTTTTGAAATAGCATTTTATCATATCATTCCTGAACTGCTAAGTGAGGCTCAGGAGGTGAAGCAACTTCCTTTTATTACACTCGATTCTGATTGGTCAATTACGCCATTATGCTGTCTGTTATTTCTGAATAGCAGAAAAACGTGAAAGACATCAGCCAGCACCACGCCCCCATCTCAGCTACGGATTTCTCTGTCCATGATACAGAGAAAATTACAGGAGATGCATCTTTACTGAGCCTGACGATCCAAAATGCAAAAAATCCAAATTTTAAAAAGCGTTTATCCCTTTGACCTCCTGACGCTAAAGCTTTTTACCTTCACCAACTCAAAAAAAGACCAACAGCTAGTGAACAGATAAGCAGTGTGATACTCTTGTGAGCTGATGGGACACAATCTTAGGCAAACGTTACCCCGAATCAGCCAGGCAGACAGGCTTTCAAAGGAGATACACCAATCACAGCTTCAGGAGCACAGCTGTCCAACTCCTCTCTCATGCTGCTCTTGAGAGTGGGGAGATAATGTCTATGACTGGGAACAGATGTGAGGGCAGCCTGAGGAGCTACTGGGCTCCAACCATTACACACAGAGAAAAAGTGGAACAAGGTCCTGTCCTCAAACCCAGGCAATGGCGGTAGATCTGGTGGTCTGCCAGTCCTATAGTTGCTACACAATAACTTAAGTGGTAGTGATAATAGTAATATTATTCCTGTTTTATTTAGAAAAAATAGATATGGAGCCAGAGTGTGCAACACTATTCCCCTTCTCGCAGCTCTACTTCCTCTGATCAGTGCCTCACTACAACCCTTGTATTGTAACTATAATGATATTACTATGACTGACTGACTTGAACTGGATCCATTATTAGTCCCTTTGGTAACTGCATCAATCAATGCAATTGATTAAGGGCTATTTTGAGGTTTCTGTGATTGTAAAAGCCTTTACTGCACCCCCATTTCAAAAAACCATAAAGAATCAATTCTAGTAAAGCTGTCATTTATTATTTTTCCTTATTTTGAGACAATTAGATGCCAGATTTCTAATGCACTGTTGTCCTTGTCACTGCTTTGTCTTAAAAACCCTCTCTGACATACACAGTGCATACAGTGCATTTCAAATTCTCTGTCTCTGCATGATGAACTGCAAGCAGTGTTATAGTGGTATTTGTAAAGGTGAGGGATTGAATGTAAGCCCCCTGCTCATTTGGAAATGTGGATTTTTTTCTGCATCACAAACAACAAAATGACCTTTACCAACAAGTGCAGAGCACTGAGGAAAGATTACCACCTATAGAAAAAAAGAACCAGGGCTGCACAAATTACCACTGCAGGTTTCTATCTTTGTCTCCCTCTAGGTGTCCATGGCCCTGGGTCTCCTGATCCTGACTGCAGGTATTGCCAGCCTGTCAGTCGGCTACTCCACTCCCCATAAAATTGAGTCGTTCGGAGAGGGAGACTTGTTCTTCGTGGACACGCAAGCCGTGAGCTTCAACAGGGGGCTGCACCTCAGCACTGCGGCCGGGATCGGGCTCTCCTGTCTCGGCTCGGCACTGGCAACAATGGGGGTCATTGTTTGGATCCTGCCCAGGGCCAACTTCAAAGAGAGGCTGTTCCACAGACCAGGGGAAGGGGAACGGAGAGTAGAGCCAGGGTCAAAGTGGAGATATCCAGGGGATGTGGTCACTAAGCCGCTAGGTATAGAGGAGAGGAAGATACCAGTCACATTGTCGAAAGTGGAAAATGTGCAGCCTACTTCTTAAAAACGATCCCTGCTGAGCTACATGGTGAACAGGCTTATGTTTTTGTCCTGGGGCCTCATTTACCTGGCCTAATTGTTTTTTTATCTGTTTTTGAAGGAAACAAGCGTTATTTTAGCATGCAAATTGTTCAAATGGAGGTTGTTTTCTGACCTGGATCTTACATAAATTACATAGACCCATGGAATCAGACAGTAGAGAGAAAATAGAGAGCAGCTCTTGGAGAGCACAGCTGGGTAGTCACTACATAACCAATGTTCCAGTTCCATCTATTTCCACTCAGGTCATAGACAAGGTTCTTAAAACACCTCTCAGGATTTAAAAGCACAACTTGATCTGAATGAAAACTCCAAATTAAAATGCATAAATGAGGCCCCAAGACTCCACAGAAACTACAGACCTTGTGCAAACATCTTGTACTGCAGGATAGGGATGTAGTTGTTGACCATAGACTGTGTTTATGCAGTGCACTAGTGTTTGTATTTTAAAAATACAGTAAGTAATGTCCACCTCTACACTTAAAGAGACCAGAATCTCAGTGACTGATGGTATAAAATAATGTGTTTTTACCTCCCACTTTGTTGTATTTTTGCTCAATATTTTTAGCAATTATTTTTTTAAATAGTAGTGGTACCAGATTTCCAGGTAGTTAGACATGGTGTTCATATTGCATAAATCATGAGAAAACACATGTTTCCATTCACATACACAGATCACTGGACACTCAGTAAGGTGCTCACATGCAGAAGATGTTAAGCATAGAGATAATCATTAACTAACATTAATTCTGTATCTACATTTTCACATATCTCCAGTAATGCTCAGCCTGCCGTGTTCAACACATGTACAGTCACATGCACTTGCACTCATCTGCTCACCCTCACACCCACACACATGCACAAATTCGTGCTCCATTGACAATATCACCTATTTTCTCCCCACTGTAATCTGGCTCCTTAATTGCCTGCAATCTGTGTCTCCAGGCAACAGTTGGGCTTCAAGTGCTCTATTTTCAACTCCGAACAAAGACTCTTTTCTCATTGGCCCAGCACTTCCCCTCGCTTTATTTTCACACCAATCAGATTTTCTGTTTACAGTCATACACAGTAGTAATGAGTAAGTGGTGAAGCTCTGAGGTGAGGAATTTGCACTGGCACCTTAGAGGCCACTTGTTTGATCAGGTCCTCCAGTTTAGTTAAATTAGTAAGTTTGAATAATACAGAGTACAAGTTGGAAAAAAAAATGTAGAAGTAGAGTTATTATGATGTCCTGATTGTTTAACTGCACTGATTCCACTGGATGTTATTATTGATGTTTCATTGTTTTGTTGTGTTATTGACTATGATAAAGATAATGGAATGAAATGAGGATAAAGTGTCGCTAGAATTACTAGAATAACGACCAAAATAAAGTTGTGATCTGCATACCTAAATGTGTTGTTAGTGTTTGGTTCCATTTTATCAATCTCTTCCACCGTGGCAAGAATATATTTTAAACTGATAATAAGGTTTGTTTGTTCTGGGCTACTGCAGAAACATGGCAGTTCAACACTGAAGCCTCCATGTAAGATGACCTGTGACTTCTGTTTAAAAGGCTCATTCGAAGGTGACAAAAACATAGCTATTCCTATATTCAGGTGATTATACACTAATGTAAACACACCTATGAATATTATACTCTGCCAATAGCTCCTACTAAAGGTTACACACCGGACCTTTAGTTAGTTAGTTTCTAAAGAACTACGCAAACTTAACTTGGTTTTGGGACATGCCATGTAAAGCCAACAATGTTGTACTTTTACTTAAACTACTTACATCAAAAGGTGCAGACCTAACAGTAATACACAATGAACAATTAACAATAATTGCCAGGTGAGTACTACATGTACAGTGTAGAATGTATTCATATAATTTGCCTGTGAGATGTGGCATGTGAGGTGTAGCTGTGGGTATGTGAGAGAGAGGTGTGTTTATGTCTGAGATGAGTCACAGCTCACAGTCTCCCAAGTCACACACCAACAGGAGGGACACCTAACGTTGACTAATTTAGACAGTACATATGTAAATGGTAAATGGTAAATGGACCTGTACTTGTATAGCGCCTTTCTAGTCTTCCGACCACTCAAAAGCGCTTTTACACTACGTGCCCACATTCCCTTTCACACACATTCACACAGCGATGGCAAAGGTCCATCCGAACAGAAACTAACACATTCATACAGCATTCACACACTGATGACTATGCATCAGGAGCAAATTTGGGTTCAGTATCTTGCTCAAGGATACTTCGACACGTGCCAGGAGGAGCCGGGGATCGAACCAACAACCTTCCAATTGGGGGACGACCCGCTCTACCTCTGAGAAGTTGCTCTAGGTCACAACTTGTCCTCGAGATCATTGTTGTGTTACGTTTACCTTTGAATAAACAGTGTGTTATTTTTTGACTTATACCCATATCAAGTGGATGATGGATATCAAGCTCTCTTACACTGGAGGTTCCCATGACCTTTGCAGTAAACAATTATTTTTGATTATAAATCATGATAATTAACATCATTATTTGTTTATTTGTTTAAGGTCACCCCTAAAAAACATCCTAAAAACTACAATTAATTAGACTATTAGAAAGAAGACTTCCAACATAATGCAGACAAACGTAACTTGCGTTTCTTTCAATTATTCCGCTGGCAAAATCAGTAACACATCATGCCTGCATATGCCATCACCTGAACTATTTTCTGTCCTTGTTGACAACGACCTCGCACACTTTGAGCGCATGTTTGCATGGCTGATTTGAGCATACTGGGTTTATTAGCAAGTGTATGTAAGTGCATAATGAGATAGAAAAGTGGGAGCCGAGGCAGTGCTTCCTGTGAAGATGGAGGCTGATACGCTCCACTGACTGCAAAGAGTGTGAGTCACACTGTTGTGGGAGAGAAGCACACAGCCGACGATTGGGCTGCAGTCTGCTCGGCTGATTGGCAGACCCATCCATCCCAGTGAGTGTGTTTGTGTGTGTGGGTGCTGTATCTCTGGGTGCCTGGGAGTCTGCTGCACTGATATGATACTGTAACATCTCATCTGCTGTGGAAAACAGACAGGAAGCTGGAATGTCTCTCAGCCAGCGTGTTGGGTTTGGTACTCTTTGGACAAAAATGGATCCGTTGCCAGTTGTGGGAAAAAATAAATCAGTCCATAATATATATACATATATATATATATATGTATATATATTATTTTTAATTCAGTCATTATTTGACCAGGAAAGCTTGACTGAGATACACAATCTTTATAAAAAGGGCTGAGAAAAAAAAAGACAAAAGATTATTATTAAGCAATAAAAAACATAAAAACACATCACACAAAAGCATCAAGGTAGAAGCTGCAATAATGTGATTTTTCAATACACTCATGGAGTCAAAATGTGTTTGGCAACCGATTTTTAAGGAAAGTGAAACTTAAACACTGTGTAAATAACAGCTGTGTTGGCTTAACTTGTTTGGTGATGCATTTTTCCTATTCCCATGATGACGATGTGACACCTTGTTGGCATATTTACAGCAGAGCCACAATAAAGGTCAGTAGCAGAAAAATAATCAAAAAGCTGAAATTGTGTGTTTTTTTCTGAGATAAAGATTTTTACACCAGTGGCAGACTACACTGCAGTCACAGGGCATGTTGTGTATGAAAAAAAAGTGTTCATTTTATATTTTATAGCCAAGTGCAAGGCTACTTATAGACTCAAGTGACTGTATATGAAGATTACAGCTCTCCAAAGGTGAAGCCAGAACATCGTCAATCGCCCCCTGATGTTTGGCTGCAGTACAGGTTATAAACCTCACCCCCTCCATGTTAGCAGATGGGACATCGGCCAGTATTTCTCAGGAATGTTCCCATGTTCACCCTCCTAGTTTAGCATGTTAGCATGCAAAAATGTATACTAATTGCTAATTAGTAGTAGAAAAAAAAGTGTGACAATCAAAAGATGGAGAAATGTTATTCTATTGGTCCTGGAAAAAGCAAACAAGTAATGATTTTGACACCAGTATGGCAGGCTTCAAGCAATTGAAATCACAGCGTATTTTATAAATATATGTTTGATGTAATACAAAGAAACACTGTTCAAATAGTAAGAAAAGATACAAAACTGAAATATTTGCTTAGACCCGACATGTTGTTTTTATCATCCAATCACAGCTCTATGTGCTCACTCTGTTTTTCAATTAAGTCACAAGCCCGCAGAAATCACATTAGATTGTATTTTGGGAATTTCCTGTTGCTGTGCAACAAAAATGGAGCATAAAGTAGACTTCAAGCAGATCTGACAATCACCAATCACACTCTCACAAGTCGATGAGATGGTGTTTATCTTCCGACAGTCATTCATACGGCTGTTGTTTCTGTTTACTGCCTGCTCTTACCTGCTACTCGCTGCTGTTGCTCTCTCCCACCTCCCCCTCCCCATGCTACTTTCTTATTACCATACTTACAATGGCATCTGTTGCCTTGTGCATTTATGTGTCTCTCGATATATCAGTGATCTGTATCTGCTCGTGTGTGTTCTGCGCACTTCTTGCATGGATTATATGTGCTTCCCTTAAAATCTTGTGTAGCTTGGATTCATTTGGGGAGCAACTAAGGAGTAACCATCCACATTTGGTCCAATGGAAATGGTCTTAAACACTTAATTCTACAGAGCAAAAACACAAAAGCAGAATATTGAAATTTCAGTGAAAGATGTAAATTTGTTTATTTAAAAGTCAATGTCAGGCAGATGTGACCATTGAGAAGAACATAAAAGTTGGACAGGAAATGATGTGCTAGAGGGGGAAAAAGACATAAAAGAAGAGAGGCAGGGATAGCACAGACAGCCTCACCATCACTCTCATTTGTCATCACATGCCTTCAGGCTAAAATTAGCATTTTCATTTAAAAGAACTAAACATGCACACAGCTCCATTACAAGTGAAGCAACAGCAGGCAATCACATTGCCAATGAACTCATCAGAATTCTAGAAATGGTTATGGTTGACCCTGCTGATGTCTCGCGCATCAGGACATGAAGAGATGTTATTTTCCTTTGCAACCACAACTCAATTTAAGCATTTGCAATGGGCAAAATCTTATCCGTACAGCCAATATAGTCTATCACCATGAAATACTCAACTGCAGGCCACATACTGTACGTGTGAAGGAAGCTGACAGTATGCATAGTAATATGGAGAAAGTCATGTTAGTGAATGTCTCTCCAGTACCATTTTACTGTAAGAGTTCTTCCAGTAAAGTACAACGTGTACCATTTTAGACAGTATCAGCCCTCAGATGTACACTCTGCACATTCAAAATTAAGATCTCTACATCCCACAACCAATCAGCCTTTGCTTAGTCGATGTTAGGGGCTCCGAAGATGAAACAAGATCTGGTGGGCAGACCAACACCCTGTTTCGTCAGCCAAAAGTCTTATTGCAGGAAGCACATCCTCCCACATCGAAAAGAAAAAAGAAAATCCGCTAAGAAGAAAAAGAAGTGATGATATATTTATAGATGATACATCTTCCAATCAGACTGTTTGTTTACAAATGTAGAGTGTAAGGCTCATTTTAGAGAAATTGTCAGCTATAAAAAATTATCTATTATTGAACTTGTTCATTAAGTGTTTAAACATTAAGTTTGATCCGCATTAAGAATCCTGAATAATGCATTGAGAAAACAAACATTAACTTAATTTATAGCAAATTAATGTTGATTACTTGACAACCTGAGCAGTGTTGGGGTTAAACCAAATCATCTTTGTGGCTATTTATAAAATTAAGTAGTAGTAAAGCAATTACTTTGTATTAAATTAAAATTGACAAGACAGTGTTTTGAATGTTTGACAAGGGATGGCAATATCAGTCTGACAGTCGGTCCACTGCTGTGATTTAGACTGAAATATCTGACTGACAATTATTGGATGGATTGGCATGAAATTTGGTGTGGCTATCCATGGTGCCAAGAAGATGGATTCTAATGATTTTTGTGATCCATCCAGCCTGGACACCTCCCTCTGTGGACTGTCACCTACTTCCTGCTTTACTCAAGATGAACCAAAGTCATAACTACTAAAGCCGCTGGAGGTCTTTGTCACTTGAACATAGTATCCGTTGTTTTGGGGCCTTAGCTAAAAGGAGTGATGCTCGTTTTGAACAGTCTCCATTGTGCTAATGTTAGCATACTAATTAGCATTAGGTTAAAGCACTGCTGTAGTACAGTACAGCCTTAAAGAGCTGCTAGTGTGAACTTTTAGTTAGTTCGTTTTGTTTTTGTGATAGATTTTTTTCATTTTTTTATAGATTCACTGATTTGTGTTTGTGTAATTAAAATTCTGTCAATCTATTACTTACTAATTGATCACT